CTAGGCATCCCTGGCTTGTGGCATACTAGGCATCCCTGGCTTGTGTTTTCACTATTGCCATGTCAATCATGATTTATGTATATAATAGCAGTAAGATATGTGTTGTATGATAGTTTGACTAAGTTGTATAGAATCAGATAAACATTGCAAGTCAACCCATTTTCTTATGCAACCAACCACCTCCCGTAATGCGTGATTTGAAGGAGTCAGGCGCAGGAGGGTAAATCACAGTATACAGAGTTTATTCAGTAATCCATCGTAACCAGTCCAGTGCGCAAAACAAGCGCACTGGAACAAACATGCACACAGGGAAAATACCCCGGCAATACAAAATACTGAGCTCAACCTCACAATGAACAATCACCCACAAGGACAAGGGGGCAGAGGGAACACGCACTAATGAGGGGAATATGAACCAGGTGTGTGTAATTGCCAAGACAAGACAAGACAAATGGAATGATGAGATATGGAGCGGCAGTGGCTAGAAGGCCGGTGACGACGAACGCCGAAGCCTGCCCGAATAAGGAGGGAGAAGTTGTGACACCTCCAAAATTCTGCTACAGTACTTGCTTATCACAACTAAATAAAGACTCCAATGATAGCCTTAACCATATTGCTCCAAAAACCTGACCGCAGCCCCAGAAAGCTATCAAGAGGTTTTAAAGGGCCAAAAACATGCAACAGAATTTAGTGACAAGAGTCAGTGGCAAATGTAATTTACAAAAGTTCAATCAGGAAGGCTGATCTGAATACTCGTATAACTTCATCCAGTAAGCGTTATCATTCACTTTGTTTCCTATTCTTCGGGCTTAGTGGGGATGAATACAAAAATATGATCAGCATAGCATCTTGTCTCTTCGCCTCTTTCCTATAAGCCATGTGCGGAATGTCATTCACCTATTTACCTTATTGCCTATAAACTCTGCACAATATTGCACATTCCTCACGCTTGCTGTTTAACCTATGGGCTCACTCTTGCAATTATCACCTTCCTCTCTCTCAACCAATGGGTGTAAATCTTGGGATGTATGTCAACTCACCCATGTTCTCTCACTTGCTGTTTTTCAGCAACAGTTTTCAACAACCATCCACCTCCCCACCACTACCAGCTATAATAACCTTAAGGCCCGTCATTAGAACTCCTTTCCCCAGAGGCCAGCAGCCCCGCCATCACATCATCTGGCCATTCCCCAACGATTTAATAAAATGTCATATTGCATTCCGTCTTTGTTGTTCATTCAGTTAAGCCTGTACTCGATTGAACTGAAGATAAACACTCCAGACAAAGAATCTCTTAGGCCCAACCAAATGCTGAGTGCCAACAAAGCACAAACATATTCATACAGAAATACTAATACAATATTATACCATGTTATAACTCTCTGTTAGGCTTTTACAACATATTATAGATTATGGAGTTGTACTGTTATTGGGGCTGATGATTTGCATGTTTGCACTGAACCGGATAAATCGAAGTTACCTCAGCTGGTTTGGTGTAAGGTAGTGATGTGAGGTGAGCTAGTAGCAGGTAAGTGGAGAGCACAGTCTTCTGAACTCTAATGACATTTGCAGACCCCGCAGTCTAATTCCACTTTTATCACCATAAGTAAAGGGATAGGCCTGTGCAGTTCACAGAATTACTTTACTTGAGCACGCTTTCCTAGAAGCCAAAATAATTGCTTGCTGTCATAATAATGTCCTAACAGGTGAAAGCTGATGTGGCATAACGTCACATATAGTTATTTTGCAAGTTGGCTGGTGTTTTACCAAGCAAATTAGCTGAACCACACGTTGGTTTGTGTCATCATGATTGTTGAGATAACTGTCGAGACACTAGCTGTCATGAATGTTATTGTGTGATATGCGTTATGTAGCCCCTTATGACAGAGGGCTCAAAATAAGTGCTACCACCGAGCTTTTCAAACAGCTAGAAGTCAGTGTGATTTCATGCAGGGCAGGCCAGTAGATAGGGTTAAAGGCCTGTTCTTCTGGAAAGGTGGGGTGTGTCTAAAAACACTTACATTCTAAACATAGCGCTACTGTGTCAGTCACCACCAAGTACCATTGACCTCCGATTGAGTACTAGTACCAGTATCCTACAGAGCACACTAGTAGAGAAATATCTTTATTTCAGAATGGCTACAAGCAGTGGTGGAAAAAGTACCCAATTGTCATACTTGAGTAAAATTAAAGATACCATAAAAGAAAATGACACAAGTAAAAGTGAAAGTCACCCAGTAGAATTCTACTTGAGTAAAAGTCTAAAAGTATTTGGTTTTGAATATACTTAAGTATCAAAAGTAAAAGTATAAATCATTTCAAATTCCTTATATTAAGCAACCCAGACGGCACGATTTTCTTGTTTTTTAAATTTACGGATAGCCAGGGGCACACTTCAACAGTTAGACATAATTTAGAAACAAAGCATTTGTGTTTAGTGAGTATGCCAGATCAGAGGCAGTAGGGATGAGTGCATGAATTAGACAATTTTCATGTCATGCTAAACATTCATAATGTAACGAGTACTTTTGGGTGTCAGGGAAAATGTAAGGAGTAAAAAGTACATTATTTTATTTAGGAATGTAGTGGAGTAAAAGTAGTCAAAAATATAAATAGTAAAGTAAAGTACAGATACCCCAAAAAACTACTTAAGTAGTACTTTACAGTATTTCTACTTAAGTACTTTACACCACTGGCTACAAGTACAGATTTCAGAGGTCCTCAGCTTTGCTGGGCTATGGTGAATGTTGAGGGACTGTCGTGTGATGTCATGTCATGGAACGCAGTGGGTCACTGCTGACTTTGCAGACCATGATCTACAATAAAATACACAGCGTGTGGTACTGATAGGGGTAGGAATAGGGCCATCTAGTGGCAACGGAGTGTACAGAGAGGATAAATAGAGTCCTTATGTTATGTTGAAGGTCAAACCCTGAGAGGAGGAATCCAGCGTTCCCACACAGTCACAATACAATGGCCAACATTCAGTCCCAGGCAGCAATATGTCATCAGAACATCTGGCTAGCAGTTTTTCCCCACTAGGATACCCTTCATGACTCACACATGGTGAAAATAGAAACTGATCATCACCAAGCAGGGTTGGGGTCAATTCCATTTAAATTCCAGTCAATTCAGACACCCCTGGACACCCCCATAACAGATCAGAAGCCCACCCCTCCCTCCCACATAAGAATTTAAATATCAATGTGAGGCCCAACCCCACAATTGCCAAAGATATCGACGTCAGGCACCACTTGACACTTTAGGCTCCCCAAGAGTCAATGTATAATAAGAACCCTGTGGATAAGTAAGTATCACTACTGCCTTCCTGAAACCTGAAGTAGGGCTATTGTTAGACCCAGACTCAGCACTGCATTGGCTTTTCTGGGTCAGTGGTATTACTGGTGCTTCTGGAGGACATTGTGGTGTTGTGCTGTGGCGTGGGTTCGAATCTCGGGTCTGCCATGGCAGGGATGGACCACATTATACAATATTACAGTGTGATTAGTAATAATGCATCCATATATACTTCTATAAATACAGTTATTGATATTGTTTCTCTGACCTTGTAAACAAATCTATCCTCATTGGCTATATCCAGATCATTCTAACCATCTCAAACTCAAACTCTCTATATAATACACTGACCTGAGGCAGTGACCATGGTACAGGCACCAGAAATGAGGTCATCATTATACCTCCATGGGATTGGCTCACTTGGAGGGAACAGACCGAGTCTTCTAGTAAGGTTTAAAATAGAGCCAGGGTGATTCCTTAGTGAATCAATCTAAACACCTTGACATTTCTGCTGGGTTCACTTCATATAATTGGCATCATGACTTCTTTCTCAGCAGACCCACATTTGTGCTTATAAAAGTGTTTGGGCAGCTTTCATAATGATGTTACAACAGTGACTCAAGTATGCTCAGGTCACGGTTGCATCTGAGCTAAAACAGGGCAGTTCGGGCAAATGGCAGATGGGCTGGTCAATCTTTAGCCCAGTGGATTTGTAGAAAAAATATTTTGACCCAGAATTACCATTATTTGGCTAATAATGGGGGTCTCAAGGAACATTTTTGCTGGTGTGTTAGAAATGCCTCAACCGATTTCTGGTATCAGTTTGTCCCTGACAGGAAGGTTCTCCTGAGTTACCCAAAGAAAACTGTAACAGTCAGCTAATTCTCATGGTGTTATTTTAATGCAGGGATTAAGGTGTTTGAGTGTGTTATGCCTTTTTCACTACACGCTATTAACACATGCAGTAGTCCAAGAACCCCAGTTCCTAAAGACAGATGACAACACATGCAGTAGTCCAAGAACCCCAGTTCCTAAAGACAGATGACAACACATGCAGTAGTCCAAGAACCCCAGTTCCTAAAGACAGATGACAACACATGCAGTAGTCCAAGAACCCCAGTTCCTAAAGACAGATGACAACACAATGAGTAGTCCAAGAACCCCAGTTCCTAAAGACAGATGACAACACAATGAGTAGTCCAAGAACCCCAGTTCCTAAAGACAGATGACAACACATGCAGTAGTCCAAGAACCCCAGTTCCTAAAGACAGATGACAACACAATGAGTAGTCCAAGAACCCCAGTTCCTAAAGACAGATGACAACACGTGCAAAATATTAAGAAAGATGAAGCAGAGAAAATTGAGTAAATAGTGGAGGAATAAGAGGAGGTGGAGGAGACAGGAAGTGAGAACATTCCAGCCAGTGAGGGAAGCAGAAAATGAGTCAGGAGAGAAGGTGTGGCCAATCCAGGCCCACTAATCCCAAATGATCTAGTTCAGCCCCATTCTCCACCTCTCGCGCTCAGATTAGACGTGTGGGCCAGAGTCAAAATAAAGGTACTGTACGTCTCTCTGTCTCTCTGTCTCTCTGCAGACGACTCCTCGACCAACAACAAACACTTGACAAACATAAAACAAACACTCCTGGCACAAACACGCTCTGGGTTTCCTCTCTGGATTATTTGGGGTGAGGAATTGTGACATGGACAGATCTCCGACCATACACATAGCACTGCTGAAGTCAGGCTGGCTATGGAGACAGAGTGAGTACTGTAGCTTCAATGTTTCTCAAATAATGTAATATTGTAGTCTAACCTCGTGTCTACATGTTTTGGTCTTAGATATAGCCTTAGCCATTGCAGGTACTATCTTTACCAAGTGTAGACCTCAACGGCTAAACAAAGCATAAGAAGTTGTGTGGAGCACTAGTACGAGAGTGATATCAGCACTGTATAGAACCCTTTGAAAGACAAGTTAAGGCCAGGCACCACAGGCTGAAATTACATTTTTGCATCTACCTATCAATTTTGAGATTTGTTGGCATTTTGGTCCATTTAATATTAATATCTTCAAAAACTAAACATAAAAGTGCCAAAATCTTGATGAAAATTTAGATTTTCTTTAGTACTAAAGTCATCATACTAAAGTCATCCAAATTTTATGAATTTTAACCACTTTAAAATGGACATACATCCATCATTTCAAAGCTCACTATATTGAATTACACATAATTTAAAAGCCCATGTAATAGAAAATGTATCAAACTCTTTTGCATATTTTAATACAATATTTCAGAATTGTTTTTATTTTAAAAAAGTATTATATTTATGTCTAAATTCAACTGGTAAAAGTTGATTGTGATATGATTATGCCTGGCCTTAAGTGAGTGTGTGAGGTCTGTAGCAATTTTTGCTCAAGTCCGCAGTCCGTGCCACTCTCTCCAAAAACAGTTCTCCCATGTTCTTAAAACTGACACCACTGAAAAGAAAATGGAGGACTCTGTTGATGTCATCAAGATCGCTAACAGATTAACCTACAGTACCTACCATTTAGCTTGTCTTGATGAAACCAATGCACTAAAGGGCATCTTTGCCCTATTTATTGAGTTGCGGTTGCTTGTGAATAAATAAGATCAGAATCGTTCTAGAAGGTGAATGTTACAACTGTTATAAAAGTCCAACCCTTACTCTGCTTGTCCAGCCTGGCCATAATCTAATTAGCTTCCTGTCTGTGTTAGCAAATCAGTGACTCACACAGACAGGCCTCAAGCCAACTACTGGGGATTCACCCGCCAGAGGAAAACAACAACATATACAGATTTACAGCTTCAACCATATAAATACAAAACACTCAAAATGGCTGTAGGTCTACCCATTATAGACCCATTGACTAGAATGCATCTTTGAGATTCTTCTTGTAATAAAAATTGCTATATAAATTAACATTATTATTATTATTATTATTATTACTATTATTATATGCTGAATTGAGACAATCATATCTGTCTGACAGTGCATTTCACTTAATGTGGATAAATGAAATAGCTAGGGCATTTCAGTTTGTAGATAAATTAAGTAGAGTATTTCAGTTAATGTGGATAAACAAAATAAAAGTATACAAAGTGGTCAAAGTCCGAACTGACCGTTAGGAAACTGGACATCTTAACCTAACCCAAACTCTACTCCACTTCACCCTCCGTCAGCCTCCATCCTAAAACGGTGGAAGCTGAATTGGTGTGACCTGTGGATCGATGGTAGCCTGGTCTTCTACAAGACGGACAGCAGGCGAGAATTTGAGCACCGAGTGGGTCTCAAGACCAGCTGTGTGAGCGTCAAGTCTGGCCTGGAGTGTGCAGGTGAGGAGGGAGTGTATGGAAAGATGAGGGTGTTCAACATGACAATGGATGCATCCGAAATGGCAATCTATTCCCTAGGCCTATAGTGCACTACTTTTGACCAGAGACCCATGAGACATGCTGTATGTTTTATTACAGAAATAAAGTGGACTGAGGAGTCCAAATATCTGTATTGACCCCCAGAAGATTTTATCCTTTGCTGTGGACTGACGTGTGCGTATGTGTGTGTAACCCTAGCTGTCCCTGTTGTTGTACAGGTCTCTCTCCCCCAGAGAACCACCCCAGTGAGAACATGGTGGTGGTGCAGCTTAGAGACGGCTCCACAGTGATCCTTTGTGCCAACAGTGAGGACGAGGCACTGTGAGTCTATATCCTGTCTCTCTTCCTCTCCCTCTCTCACACTCTCTCCCTCTCTCACACTCTCTCTCTCACTCACACACACTCTCTCTCTCCCTCACACACACAATCTTTCTCTTCCTCTCCCTCACTCACACACACACTCTCTCTCTCTTTTACAGTGCAGACACTCTCTCTCAATCTACTTCCTCTCTTTCTCATTCTGTTTTTGCAGAGCATGGAAGTTGACAATTCTAGAGGCAAGACAAAACCCAGTAAGTAACCTGGTAATATTTCTAAACCAGGGTTTCCCAAACTCGGATGCTTAGAGGACATTCTTGTCTTATCGTCTTGTCTTTCCCACTTAGTTCCCGTATGACCCGTACGACGACACCTACCAGTCCGTCCCAATGGACGGCCACAACACCATCTACCTCGCCCCTGGATCAGGTAAAGACAACACAACACCCGAGGTCTGAGTCATATTCATTAGTGCACACCGTAGCAAAATGTTTTGCAACGTAAAATGAAAACAAGTGTTTCTTATTGGACAAGTTCAGGTAGTCCCTCCCTGTTTAAGTCTGTTTTCTTCTGTTTGGTGCCTAGTGAGTACAACTCTGATGTCAGCAAGTCAACAGTGTGACTCTAGCACTCCTTTCCGAGACTCCCTGAAATCAGTTGTTGACATAACTATCCTGGTTACATCAAATCAGAAAAGTTGAATAAAACACACTCGTATATTCACTTATGCTCCCATAAATACTCTAGTACACCCTATATTCAGCATCCTGTCTCTCCCTCCCTCTCTCTCAGGTACCCACCACATACTGATCCAGAGAGACCCATATGATGGCATAGGAGAGCAGGTGGCACTGGGGCTACTGGCGGGCATGGCGGCGGGCGCTGCCATGCGCTCCTTCCTCTGGATGCCCTTGTTCTTCTGCTGATAGAGAAGGCCTCTGATCTGGACCAGGCTGCTTGCTTGGGCGCCCTCCCCAGTGCGCTAGCTCCATGAGCAGGGAGGCACGGCTGGGAAACGCCCAGGCTGCATATATGTAGGACTGCTGCTGTAGGCCTCACTCCTACAAGTCTTATTATTGTATTTCAAACACAATGTTTTTCCTGTTGCAGAAAATGGGTGCCCGAGTGTGTGTGTGTGTGTGTGTGTGTGTGTGTGTGTGTGTGTGTGTGTGTGTGTGTGTGTGTGTGTGTTACAAGTTTTAATGTCACATGAACAAGTACAGTGAAATGCCTTTCTTGCAAGCTCTAACCCCAACAATGCAGTAATCAATAACAATGTAATACTAAAAATAACAAGGTAGAACAAAAACACACGAGATATAAAAATAAGAAGAACACGATAAAGTAAGTAAGCATACTATATACAGGGTTTGTGTGAGCGTGCGTTCATGTGTTCGCGAACGCGTGTGTTGACAAATTGGTTTACAGAACAGGTTGATGGTAACATAAATATGTAAATATGTCCTTTATAACATAGGTTAAGATCACACAGCATATTTAGTAGGAATGCATATGAAACGTATACGGTATGCAACGTACAGGGTGTATGAGAAACAAAAACGTCCCGCTCCGCATATTCAGCTGCCTGAGGTGCAAAAGTGGATCACTTTTATTAACCTTAGATCCTGTATTAAAGCTCATGTATGGAATTTAATTCACTATGAGTACAATGCTGTTGTTGTCAAATTTAATAAAAGTGTTCAAAGCCATGGATATGAGAATTCATATTCAATGTCAGAATACTTACTTGCTTAAATCGACTTCATTCCTATTTGGAACATAAGGCTTCTGCCTGTCTGGAAATGATGTTCCATGACAGACCACAGTCCTTAATCTCATTATCCACTGTTCTCCTACATGTCTCTTTGGGGCAGCCACACTTTCTTTCTATAATATAAGAGATAGAGAAATATGTATAATTTATTACACATCAGTAGTAGCCTACACACTAGTCACTCACAATCTAAGTTGATGTCGTTTTTCTCCAAATAAATATTCACATGATGGTGAACTTCAGAGAAGCAATCGCAAAACACACCACTAGACAGAGACAGAGCTCATGAAACTAACCCATCTCCTACATTTACATTTACATTTTAGTCATTTAGCAGACGCTCTTAACCAGAGCGACTTACAGGAGCAATTAGGGTTAAGTGCCTTGCTCAAGGGCACATTAACGTCATTTAGCAGACGCTCTTAGCCAGAGCGACTCACAAATTGGTGCGTTCACCCTATAGCCAGTGGGATAACCACTTTACAATTTGGGGGGGGGGGGGGGGGGGGGGGGGGTACCAACTCACAGTTCACAGACTACATTCAGGGGTGAAATTGATGGGGAATGACTGGGAACTGAGTTCCCAAAGTTGAACTCATTTTAACATCTAAACATTTATTTAAAATGAATTCACAGTGCTGACACAGAGGGATTAAAAATATATATTTTTAAACCTGCTTGTTCATGTGGTTTTTAGCAGTGATTCATAAACCACGAATCTGAGTCTGACCCTTCCACATCCATGCCTTCCCAGTTCCCACCATAAAAAAATAAACCATACTACAAAATCAAGGGTTGTTTTTTGTTGTTTGAAATGACATTCTCCTTAGTAACACTGTTATTCATCAAAATGATTAATCACACCCTCATAATGGGAAGGCTGTTGTAAAGTAGGCCTACAGTTAGCCAAATGATGGGCTATATCAATTATAATAAATGACTTCATCTCTAAATGATAAGATTACATATTTTGTTCTTTTTTTATGAAGCTCTCAATACATGACTAAACAAAACCCTTAATTTTGCACTTAAATAATCCTTGATATTCCCTTTGATGATCAATTGGCATTTAATTAAGGTTTCAAAGATTTCATGGTATGATATACTGAAGTGTTTTTTTCTAGATGGATTACAATGTTATTAAGGTTTAAATGAATGAAAACAACCCCTGAATTAAAGAGGCTATATGGAACTTTTGCCTCTGGCGTGCTCTTGAGCCAAAAGGGTCCCAAATCGACAGAAAATGTTCCTGAAATTACTTAATTGGACTCAATGACACTCAGAGGGAACCATTAGCCTATAGCCTCGCTGTAATGTTATGCAATAAGAAACATTTTCACATTTTGCTATTTTTTGTACCACTTTCCCGGATTGTGTGATGCAGTGTGGTTGTTTTGAAGATCTTGTATTTTCTTAAGAAATTGTCACCAAACTGTCATATTTTTATACACAAACCACGGCCTAGGCCTGCCTAGCTGAGATACGCCCAACTTTGTTATTTTACACCGAGGCGGAGTAGAGTTTTGATAGCTAACTGGTCGCGTGATTTGCTAGCAACAACATTGAGTCAACATCAGTCAATACTTAAATTTCAATTCTGAAAACGCTTTACCTGTAACTATGTTTGTCCTGTACAACTGCGGTCCTTCCGCGGGGTGGTGAAATTCATACTTTTAATAAAAACCTTTATCGAATACAACCGCTGACTTTTTCCTCATTTGCCTTGATGTACTGCTGGCTGGGCTGCAACCTAAACAGAGATTCAATTGGCACATGTGCATTCGCGCTGAGTTGAGTAACACAAATGCGCTGTCCAACTGTTGCCTGCCATATAATTTATATAGCCTCCTGCTGCTCCACCGACAGCGCCATGCCAGCCAGGATGCCTGCATGCCCCATGTGCCCTTGTTTTTTAACAATGTCCGGTACAGACAGGGATGACAGGAAGGGTAGTGGTTGTTCTGGCTCAGGTTCGAAGAGACATGCCATTTCAGTGAACCTGCCCCGGAGACGGTTCTTTAGCCACTGAAGATCCTCCTCTGTGGACTATCGGGACAGAGGGTTGTAGTCTTTGGCCGGGTACAGGTCCTCCAATGACCTGGTTGCGCACGGCTGGCTTCCTCCACTCGCATTCCACATCCGTATGGCCAATATTGTGAACCGCCAAAATAGGCTGCATGGCTACACTTACGAGCTCCACGGAGGCATTCTCATGTGGTAGAGTTAATCTCCTGGTCACCTATAGAGACCTGCCAAGAGGAAGGATGTTAAGTGCCACATGCCTTTCAACGCATGACTTTGAACACCTTGAAATGCATTCATTGTAAGAAATGTGCTATATAAATAAAGTTTGATTTGATTGATGACATTACAGCTGTAGAATATTTAATAAATTATAATTTTCAGGTGGACAAGTGCAGTTTTTCCATAAACTTTTAATTGATAACTTGGGATTTTATCATTTGACATATCAATCATATTGTTGGAAGGATCCTATAAATCAAGACTAAGTGAATGCATGTACCACTCCAAATAAATAAATACTGTGCCTTTGAAGATTTGTCTCTGGTCATGAAACTACAATACAGGCTGGATGTCTAAACAAACTCAATTCTGAATGTCAATAGATTTTTTGATTCATTCTCATCAATGACAACATTCTAGAACTGAGTTATCGCTCATCTAAGTCTGGTATCCGTGGTAATCTGGTTAATGATTATATAATTGATTAAGTGACTCTTTCCTTGTAGAATGCTGACAGCTGTATAGAATATATTGTATTGCTAAGATGCTCAAACTTAACTTAATAGCTACACTCACCGACACAGGATCAACTTTATCCCTCATGATGGCCCTGACCAAACCGCTAAATTGCCCCTCACTATTGTTGCACTTCTCCACATGGCCAGACTTATAGTGGTCTTCTCCCCTTTTAATGCTCTTATGCTCATCCTTGAAAAATGCCATAAGGTCTGAAATAGACGCCAAAGTCAACATACTGTAAAAACAATTATCTAGGCTAAGCAATACACAATTATTTGTTGATCTACTGCTCTGCTAACTAGCTAGCTAAAGCGTAGTCAGTGCCTAGCTAAGACAGAGAAAGAGGATAGAAGATTGGGAAGAAGTTCAACACTTTTTTCAATTATTTTCAATACAGCACATGGATTCATCATGGATTGGGCACAGGTCTCTGATTGCCCTGGTGAACAGTAGCTGACAGTGTCGGATAGAGATGAGGTCCAGGAGCTTCCTGCAGGAATTTGTAGTCTTGCTGAGGTCTTCTCTGTTGCTAATTAGCATTTTAAAATTGTTAGAGTAAATTGAGGCAAATATTTTGATAAAGTTCACCTTGTCCGAGAGAGAATTAGGCTACACAGTTATCAAAACATGCTACGGTAAGCCTACACCAAACACATACTTCATTTGAAGTGTTTGTAAAATTCACTATATGAAAAATGAATGGTGGAAAGACGATTTGAACCATTTCCGTGTTTGACCGCTAGGTTTAATGGGTATTATGACGCCTCCACTGTTGTGGACTATTGCCGCGTTCAAAACAACAAGGTGAAATCATGACGTAAGTGATCTTCAGGTCGGAGCTCTAAAAAGAGGCCTGAGTTCCTGAGTTGGAATTCCGAGTTGAATTACCGTTTAAATACATTTTTCCAAGTAGAAGCTCGTTTTTTCCGAGTTCCCAGTTATTTTGAATGCACTGAGGTCAAAAGTCGGAGATTTCCCAGTTCCTAGTTGTTTTGAACGCCGCAATAGGCCTACATTTTAGCCTAGTACAAATAAATGTAGGCTGTTGCAGTGAAAGAGGATACTGTGCCACCTTGGCATAGCAAATGCTTTTGAAAAGGCAGACAAATATAACTGGGGTTACTACCTTATTATTTCTTTAACGATTAATTGATTGAGCACATTCGGTTATTTCTTATTAGATTACTTAAAATCGATAGAGAAATCACTAGAAAGCAATCAAAATGTTACTTTCAGGGAAAGCTCCAACCATCAGAAACGGTGTTTACAATATGAATGCAGTTGCATTATGGGATAATAATGATTGACACGGCAGCCATTTTCCTACTAGGCGCCCTGTTCCCATTGTGTGAGAGATAGTAAATACTGACACTGCTAGAAAACCATAACATTTATTTCCTTGAGAAAAAACGTGTATATTCACGTCAGGTAAGTGCCACATTTTGAAATATATTTTTGTCTAAAACACTTAACCACTGTTTTATATAAGTTTCAGATGGGTTAAACTTCATTTTATTTTAAAATAGCGTTTTTTTCCGACGGTGTAGAAATGGAAAAGCGACTGCCGCGATGCTAGAGAAAAAGGCTTTCTACTTCACTGGCCGAGGCAGATGTAAATTCCGCTCCAGTTTCATGTGCATTTTTACTTCGCTTGTATGGTGTAAACAAACGTTCACCTACAACTCAGAGCGACTTTTTGGATAGCTACAGTTGTCTAGTTTTATGTTTCAATGTTCGTAGTTCTGAACATTGTTTAGTTTTTCGAAGATTTTTGAAAGTTTATGTCCCGCTCTTTGCCTGTATATTGGTAGGCTCATTCGACTGCTTCTTCATCTGCGGCCATAATCTTGCGGTTAGAGGCGGAACTAGGGTTTGTGGACCCACCCCTACGCTCTAAACAGTGTATCGCGATTGGTCGACAGCGACGACATTGCCCACTGGATTGGATGTTTTTCGATAGGTGATCTGCATACTAGTTTGATTGGTTGGGCAGTATCCCAGTATTCTAGGATAGTGGCCCACTGTTGCTGGATTGCAATGCAGCTGCTCAGCGAAATAGAAAGTTATCACAACAGAGTAGTACTCCAGACGGCAGCATTTCAATCATCATTTCTCAATAATAGCAACACACTAGTATACATTTAGCACTTGGAAAAATGGCATTGCAATATATTTGCAACTCACTGAATTTTTGGAATTGTATCTAACAGAGCTTTATCGACACATACATTGAGGGGGGAAAAAAAGTTTTGTTTTTACCTGTCTCTCAGGTGATAACTAACTCGTCATGGCTCGTACCAAGCAGACCGCCCGTAAATCCACTGGAGGAAAGGCTCCACGTAAGCAGCTGGCCACCAAGGCTGCCCGCAAGAGTGCACCGTCTACTGGTGGGGTCAAGAAGCCCCATCGTTACAGGTAAAGTATCGGTTCACCCCTAGAAATAAACATTTGTGTTCACCACAGATCGTAGATGTTAAGGTCGGCTAGCGATACAGCCCCATTATGACATGTAAAGCTTGTGTGAAACCACAGAGGGGGTACCAAACCATATTGGTGTGGAAATGACTTCACACTCCAATTGTTCAAAATGGCACGCTATTCCCCATATAGTACACTACTTTTGACCTGAACCCATAGGGAATAATGTGCCATTTCAGACGCAGACACTGTTTTCAATGAGCAGTTCAACTAGCCTTATAACTAAGCAGTGACTGCTGGTAAACGTCACCACTCAGTATTTACCACGGCCAGACACGACTAGTAGAATTCAGCATGGGGAAGTGATCGGTGAAGTACTATAGTAGAATAGAAGGCCTTTTTCCTCCCCTAGTCATACTGACTGTGTGTTGGTTCCAGACCCGGCACAGTGGCCCTGCGTGAGATCCGTCGGTACCAGAAGTCCACTGAGCTGCTGATCCGCAAGCTGCCCTTCCAGCGCCTGGTGAGGGAGATCGCTCAGGACTTCAAGACCGACCTGCGCTTCCAGAGCGCTGCCATCGGAGCCCTGCAGGTCAGTGGCTGTGTGTGTGTGTGTGAAGCTCTGTCCCCCCCTAATCCAGATCCTGTCCTAATTGGCCTACTACATACACACACGGTAACAAAACGATTAGTTACCGGAGTGTAACTCCAGTTCTATGAGTGGAGCGGAGCCCCATAGGGGAGCTCTGCTCCTATTGGTTTACCCACTGCCCTAAGGCAGCATCAGCCTGAGACAAAATGATGCACACACCTGCAGCCAATAGGAGTACAGGTGTCCCTATAAGATGGGATGCCTCCCCTCAATCAGCCTCCCGAGATATTTATCTTCAGCGAGACTAGAGAGGGTCGGCAGGGCCTTAAGTCCTATGGGGCTCCGCTCCACTCATAGAACTGGAGTTACACTCCGGTAACTAATCGTTCTATATCGTGGAGCTCCGCCCCATAGGGGAGCTCTGCTCCTATTGGTTTAAGGCGGAGCGTAGCGCTCCAAAATGTACTCCCTGCCGAGCCCAACACTTCCCATCAAAATGTCTCCACAGTCCTGCATTCCTCCTCCTAGCTCAAAGTCTCCCTTCAGCCACGCTGAGTACAGACTGAGCCAAAGAGTTAGAATACATATCCAAGAGATAGAAACGGATAAATGGAGACGGTGTTGACCATGACGCCGCTCTACATATATCCTCTACCCCTGTTCCTCTGAAAAGGGCAGTAGAAGCTGCTACTCCACGAGTGGAGTGAGCTCTGATACCCTGAGGCAATTGTCGCCCCGCTGCCTCATAAGCTGTCTCAATGCCCTCACAGAGCCAATGAGACAGACGCTGTTTCGAAAGTGGTCTACCTAGTGCAGCAGCACCATGACACACAAACAGCTGAGGCGATGACCTAATCGCTGCTGTGCGCTCGACGTAACACGCCAAGGCGCATACTGGGCACAGGCGATGGAGCCTTTCCTCACTCCTCTCTCTATGAGGAGGAGGAGAAAAAGCCCACAGCTCCACGGTCTGTGATCTATATGAACTCCTAATAACCTTCGGCACAAATGCCGGGTTAGGACGTACCACCGCTCTGCTCAGATCGCCATTAATGGCCAGGCAGTCGGGTCTCGTCGAAAGAGCACACAAATCACTAACACGCTTAGCCGTAGTCAAAGCGAGCAACAGTGCTGTCTTCAAAGACAGCATCTTAAGGGGTATTTGATTCAATGGATCGAACGGCGACTTACATAGCGCTTCGAGTACCAAATCCCACTGAGGAAGCGTGGCTCTAGGTGTTGGCCTAAGCTGCCGCGTTCCTAATAGGAAACGTTTCACTAGAGGGTGGCTAAAGACATTGTCTCTGCCAAACCCCTTGTGACAAGCTGAAATCGCCGCTGCAAACACCTTAATGGTGGCGGGCGATCGCTGCTTGTCAAACATAAGCTGTAGGAAAGAGAGAATACTCTCAACCTGACAGCTCATGGGGTCTACACCTTGTGTGACACACCATTGTGAAAACACGTTCCATCTACTGGCATACATCTTAGAAGTGGAACTGGCACGTGAACCCTGTATGGTCCTGATCACCGCATCAGATAACCCACGGCGCTCTAGCCTGTCCCTCTCAGCAGCCAGGCCTTCAGTGGTTGGCCGATTATGGGCAACTGCCCTATCGTGCCCCCCGCCTGAGACAACGCGTCCCATCGATGTGGAATTGGCCAAGGTGGCGCAATCAACATCTGACTCATCTCCGCAAACCAAGGAGCCCCTGGGCGATCGGTGGCTACCAGTATCACTGACAGCCCTCCTGACCTCACCCTGGCTAACAGTGGGAGAATGCAGGACAGCGGAGGGAATGCATACAGAAGAACTCTCGGCCACGGTTGGTGCGCAAAGGCGTCTCTTCCTAGTGGCGGTTCTTCCTGTTCCCTTAGAGAGAACCATAGGGGACATTGCGCATTCACACGTGACGCGAATAGATCCACCTCGGCTCTCCCGAACTGTTCCCAAATTTGGAGAACAATGTCCGGATGCAGACGCCACTCGTCGTCTCGAGGACCCCCTCTTGACATGAGGTCTGCTCCTACGTTCAAGTAGCCCGGAATGTGTGCTGCTCTCAATGAGCGAAGGTGCTCGTGAGCCGACAGCCACAATTCCTCTGCCGCCCGATGGAGAGCAGGAGACCTGACTCCTCCCTGGCGATTTATGTGGGCTACTGTGGTCCGGTTGTCTGACCAGACCAGCACATCGCGACCCCAAAGGGTAGACGCGAAGTGGGTCAAAACCAGTCTAACCGTTTCCAACTCCAAGAGGTTGATGTGGCGACTCGAAAGAGGCCACACACCTCCTATCGCTTGGGTCTGACATGTCCCTCCCCATCCCGTCAGAGACGCATCTGTGAACACTGGGACGTAAGAGGACACTTTGCCTATCGGGACTCCGTGCGTGAGAATGCGCGGGTTTCTCCAATAGTTCAGATCTGCACTGAGCGAGAGGGGAACCACCACCAACCGATGACGTTGACGTAATGGGTCTAGTCTTAGTTGGGGGAACCATCGCTGCATCCTGCGCATGTGCAGGAGTCCCAGCGGAACCACAGAGTGGGCTGACGACATGAGACCCAAGAGTGACATGATCGACAGCGCCGTCACCGTGTGATTCGGATGACACTTCCTCAGGGCTAGCAACAAGGCTACCCTTCGGGGGTCCGAAATTCGAGCCCTCATCATTACAGTGTCTAGCTGTATCCCCAGGTAGACAATCTGATGACTGGGCCAGGGCGTGCTCTTTTTCCAATTCACAGCGAACCCCAGACGTGTGAGATGAATCACTGTCTGTGTTGGGTGAGTGATTGCCAGCTCTGCTGACGGGGCGAGAACCAGTAGGTCGTCTAGGTAGGCTAGTAGCCGTATTCCCTGACGACGCAACGGTTCCAATGCCGCCTCCACATACTTGGAAAACGTGTGAGGTGCCAGGGCGTACCCGAATGGCATCCTCGTGTATTCGTACGCCACCCCTTGAAAGGCGAATCGCAGAAACTTCCTGTGACGCGGCTGTACCGGCACATGAAAGTACGCGTCCTTTAGGTCTATGCTCGTACAAAAATCTCCTTTCTGGACACATTCCAGCAGACGTTTTGTCGTTAGCATTCGAAAGGGCCGTTTGGTTACGCTCTCGTTGAGAATGCGTAAATCCAATATTGGCCTCATTCCCCCTGTCTTTTTTGGCACCAGGAAGTAGGGAGAATATAGCCCCTTGTTCCTTTGCTCCTGGGGAACCACTGTGACCGCCTCCTTCGCCAAAAGTTCTGTAATCTCTGAAACCAGAGCGGCCACTTTTTCGGGCGTTTTCATCACCGTCTCCACCACTCCCCTGAATGGGGGTGGGGTCCGATGGAATTGGAGAGCATAACCCTTCTGCAACGTCTGTTCTAGCCAGCGTGAGAGGGTGCAGCTTCGCTGCCACTGCCAGCAATATAGAGAAAGCGGCCGAGCGCGAAGCTGTGGTACATTCAGTAGGAAGGACCTGTATTCCTCTATGGCCCTTGCCGCCGCTGTTCCCCAACACTGAGGTGGTGGAACAGCCCAAGGCGGGCCTCCCATGAAAGGGAGAGGAAGCATTAGTGCGTTCTGATCCAGAAGGAGGGGCAGAGACGTCAGTTAAACCCGTAACCGTCGTATTCCTGCCCTCCGTGAACGCAGCGCGGGTCTGAATTGCACTGACCGAGGCCACAGCCTGCGACAGGGCACCATCCCCAGCAAAGTACATGACTGCAATTCGCTATTAGAGTCCCTCACTACAATACTCCTAGGAGTCTGTAATATGAGGTCTCTATGAGGTAACACAAGGCGGCGCCTTGATACCTTCTGAACCTTCACCTTCTGTGTGTGTCCACCTCTGGTGGGTTGAGTCACGCTCAGTGTGGTGAGTATTAGCGCGTTCTGTGACAGGTGGGGGCGCCGATACGTTGGTTATTCCTGTAACCTTAGTAATCCGGCCCTCCGTGAACGCAGCATGGGTCTGAATCGCACTAACCGAGACCTTAGTCTGCGATAGTGCGCCATCCCCAAATAGCGGCTGCGTCATCATGTCTCCTGACTGAGACTGCAGTCTGCTATGAGAGGCACTCACTACAGTACTCCTTGGAGTCTGTAATGTGAGGTCTCTGAGATAAACCAAGACGGCGTCTTGGTATCTTTCCTCCTTTCACCTCCTGTGTGCGTTCAGCTCTGCACCTCTGGTGGGCTGAACTACACTCAGTGTGGTGAGCATTGGCGCGTTCAGAAAGAAGTGGGGGCGCCGATACACTGGGCACCTTCGTGACCGTGGTAATCGGGCCCTCCGTGAACGCATCATGGGTCTGAATCGCACTAACGGAGACCTTAGTCTGTGATAGTGCGCCATCCCCAAATAGCGACTGCGTCATCATGTCAGAGTCTGACAGAAACTGCCGTCTGCTATGTGAAACACTTCTTATACCTGAAGTGTTATGTGAACCTACTCTGAATGCCTGTTCAGCAGTGCACCCTTGGTGGGCTGAACGGCGCTTAGAGTGGTAGGGGAGAGAGGGTGAGATTTGAACGCTCTCGGACGTATTATGGAAAAGGGGCTCTTTTTTGACAAAGTCAGGTGGAGCCAACTCTTTATTCAACACATCAACAAAAGCATTTACATCATCACCCATCCCTTCAACCGAAGGGTGGGGGGGAACAGTGGTCACGTTCAAGGATGACGTGTCCTCCATTCGCTCCCCCGCGTCCCGTCATGTGCGCCTCCTCTTGTGGCCTCCCTTAGGGGCCCAGGTCGGCGCTCTCACCACCTCCCTCGCCGGCTGCAATGGGGCCACCGTGGCTGCTGGGGGGGCTGGGCCCGCTCTCCTGCCTCCTGCGGCCGCCGACTGGCGCCGGATACGCCGCCTCGCTGTAGATCCTTGTCTACTCTGGGGGGCGGAAGTGGATGGTCTACGTGACGGTGCAGGGCCTAACCTCCCTGCCAGTGGCAGGTGTCTGGCCAGCTGCTTCTTTTCCTCGTCCAACTTGGAAAACCTCTCAGTCGCCTCTTTGACGGCGACTCCAAAGAGCCCGTCGTCAGAGAGGGGGGCGTTCAAAAGGGACGTCCTGTCTGCTTCCTTCATGGTTGTCAGGGACAACCAGAGGTGTCGCTCTGCGACCACCGAGGTGGCCATGGACCTCCCCGAGCAGACGGCCGATGCCTGTGTTAGGTGTAGGATGGCGCCAGCAATCCTAGACGCCTCCTCCACCTCCTCTGGCTCCAGCGCTGTCTTACCCGTGGTTAAACGGGACAGAGCGGCTGCCAAGAGGGCAATGTTGTTAGCTGCTGCTACAGCTTGGGCTCCCAAATTGAAGGACTTCTCTAACAGCTGTGCTGTGAGACGGTCCTTCTGAGATGGCAATGTGGCCTTCCTGGAAGAGGGCCAGGGACTCGAACCCGGTACGAGATACGCCGCCATGGCGCTCTCTAACCTGGGGATTCCCTTAGCTTGGCCCTGGAACCTTCCCTCCGCTCTAGTGAATGGGATGTACGTTTTAGCCGGCGAACGCGCCGCTAAAGGTGCCTCCCATGAGTCCTCGACGTATTTTGCCAATGAAGGCATGGCAGGAGCTAGTGGCTCTGCCGCTCTTCTTGGCCTGGAATAAGGGCCGCCCTCCATTAAGTCAACCTCCGGTGCGGAGGGAATAGGGGGCAGCGGTATTTCCAGCCGTCTAGCAGCTCTCTCAATGAGACCAGGAAAGTCCGTTCTCAGAGACGCTGCGGTGAAGGACAGGGCTTCTGATTTCTCAGAGCCCGTGTCGTCATCACCATAGGAACTACAAGCCCTCTCGCTAACCAAAGGAAAGGGGGGCTTGAATGTATGAGGGACGGGGTCTGACTGTTCCATAGGAATGTCAGCCTCCTCCTCATAGTCCCCATCATCCCCTGAGTTTGCGCCGTCAGATGAGGCCTCTGAAGCAGAGTATCGACAACACGTCCCCTAGGGGGATATCCTCCCTAAAAAACGCCCAGCGCTGCTTCCTCTCCTTTGTAGAATGCTGGGACCCTAAACACACGAAACATAAGTTGTGGGAGTCGCCGGCCGCATCTGCATTGAGCTCTGAAAATAGCTTTTGTGGGTGGAAAATCTCCTGGTGTGCTCATTGCTGGACGACGTCGATGACTGGAAAATCGACGGCATTCTCGTCCTGAGTCTTCTCTTCTCTTCGTCTCGTCTTGGCTTCTTCAGTCTAGTCCAGTCGCTGAAGATAAAGGGAGGCTGATTGAGGGGAGGCATCCCCTCTTATAGGGACACCTGTACTCCTATTGGCTGCAGGTGTGTGCATAATTTTGTCTCAGGCTGATGCTGCCTTAGGGCAGTGGGTAAACCAATAGGAGCAGAGCTCCCCTATGGGGCGGAGCTCTACGATATAGAACAACATGCACAAACGCTCAAATTCATTTTTTTGTGTTGACCTATTCTTCTCTATGCATTTGTTTGTGTGTGTGACATTTCTTCTCTCTGTCTGTCTGTAGGAGGCCAGCGAGGCATACCTGGTGGGTCTGTTTGAGGACACCAACCTGTGTGCCATCCATGCCAAGCGTGTCACCATCATGCCCAAAGACATCCAGCTGGCACGTCGTATCCGCGGGGAGCGCGCTTAGCCCACCCTCCTTTATTTTTTCTCTTTAATATTTCACATTCTATTCTCTTTTTTTTCTTTACCTCTCACTGTCCTCACCCTCACTCCCTCATTCGCCCCGCCCTTCCATCTCATCCCCCCAGCCCCCTCTCCCTGTTTTCTTCTTGGTAGACTTTAGAGTAATCGTGATTATGATGAGAGAAACGTGTTGAAAAGTCTTGTCTCTCATAGTTTTTGTCTTCAGCAGATGTTTTAGGGTACCTTTTTCATGCATGTCGTAGGTGTCGCTGATCAGACACACACACACACACAAGCATGTGTGAACCATGCGTCCTCAGCTCTCATACAATAAAAGTCACTCACACACAGGTGGGCAGACCAGAAGGGCGTCGCCCGGGGGCTAGTCTGCATAAAGGGAGTGGCAACTTCCACAGCAGGGTGCTACTAAAACTAACCCCAGGTCTGTGTGTGTGTGTGCGTGTGTGTGCATGTGTGTGAGCTCTGATCAGCCAAACAAATTGTATTCAACAGCAAACAAGTATCTCTTCTTGGTTACTTAAAAATAATTGATGATTACTATCATTGTGGATATGGTGTCTATTTTAAAAATATATATAATTCATACATATACACATCTTTTCTTTAGACTACTGCCAGAGACATCAAAATAATAAGAAGTAACTAAGTGATTGACGTTTGGCAAACTTCTGTTTTTACAGAATTATTTTAAAACCAATCAGAAAGAACTTCTCGGTGTCATAAGAGCTACTGTTCTAATGGCAGCCACATGGGGGTGATATATACCAGCCCCCCTCCTATTTAGTTTCTTCTCACTATCAAGCTATCATTATCCATGATACTACTCTCAATCTCTTTACCCGGTCTCCTTCTCTTAAGATTAGTTGTGTTCGGCATTAGAGTTGTCATACCAGTATGAGTTGACTTTGTAGTAGCGAGAGTTACTCTTCAAGTTTGGGTTATTTTCTGACTTCTTTCTCTCACTTCCTTTGTATATTGAACCAAAATATAAACACAACATGCAACAATTTCAACGATTTTACGGTGTTACAGTTCATATAAGGAAATCAGTCAATTGAAATCAATTCATTAGGCCCTAATCTATGGATTTCAAATGACTGGGGGGGGGGGGGGGGGGCAGCAGCCCTGGGAGGGAATAGGCCAACCCACTTGGGAGCCAGGCCCAGCCAATCAGAATGAGTTTTTCTCCACAAAAGGGCTTTATTACAGACAGAAATACTCAGTTTCATCAGCTGTCCGTGTGCTGGTCTCAGACGATCTCGCAGGTGAAGAAGCTGGATGTGGAGGTCCTGGGCTGGTGTGGTTACACAAGGTCTGTGGTTGTGAGGCCGGTTGGACGTACTGCCAAATTCTCTAAAATGACATTGGAGGCGGCTTAAAGTAGAGAAATTAACATTCAATTTTCTGACAACAGCTCTTGTGGACATTCCTGCAGTCAGAATGCCAATTGCAAGCTCCCTCAACTTGATACATCTGTGGTATTGTGTTGTGTGACAAAACTGCACATTTTAGAGTGGCCTTTTATTGCCCCCAGCACAAGGTGCACCTGTGTAATGATCATGCCGTTTAATCAGCTTCTTGATAAGCCACGCCTGTCAGGTGGATGGATTATCTTGGCAAAAGAGAAATGCTCACTAACAGGGATGTAAACAAATTTGTGCACACAATTTGAGAGAAATATGCTTTTTGTGCGTATGGAACATTTCTGGGATCTTTTATTTCAGCTCATGAAACATGGGACCAACACTACATGTTGCGTTTATATTTTTGTTCATTATAGATCTGACAATAGAATCTGTCGGTTTCCTCAATTTGTGATAAGCAATATATCCTCATTTTTGTTTTCTTATATATTTGTTCTTATTCCTCAAGATTTTCAGATGTTTAAGCTGATCTTTGTATTTTCCAAATTCCTCATATTATGGTGGTAATAAATAGATGTTACACAAAATAGGTGTCTTTGTCAGATTCCTTTTTTACATATGTTTCACTCTTTGCTTGTTCTGTGCATAGTCTGTAAGAGTTGGACGATTTTGATTGATGAAACATTCCAGTGGACTACCTCTTGATTTGAAAGATTACCCTATCGAAACCAAAAAAAGGACCTAAAACTCATGTTTTTGCAGGCAAACAAATGGCAAAGCTTCAAATCATGTTTTTAAAAAGTAATGTTGCTCTCATGGAATGTCATTATAGAAACCAACTGATATTTGCATGTGAAACCAATTGAATAAAATAGAAACCAATACTATAGAAACCAATAGCTATTTCCATGTGAAGATGCCTTGGAATCCATTGCTCCTTGGCCCACTCCAAGAGGAATTGTGGAAAATGTGCTACATAACAGTGAAAACCAGCGATTCCCAGGTTAGATTATGTTTACCATTATGTCAGCTTTGTAAATGTACAGTGCCTTCAGAAATTATTCATACACCATGACCACAGGAGGCTGCTGAGGGGAGGATGGCTCATAATAATGTCTGGAATGGAATGGTATCAAACGTGGAAACCATGTGTTTGATATGTTTGATACCAATCCATTGATTCCATTCCATTTTATTTAACCTTTATTTAACTAGAAATAGCAATTGGTTCCAGCCATTACTATGAGCCCGTCCTCCCCAATTAAGGTTCCACCGGCCGCCTGTGCCCATGGCTTATTCCACATTTTGTTGCGTTACAGCCTGAATTCAAAATTGATTTTTTTTTAAATCTCACCCATCTACACACAATACCCCATAATGACAAAGTATAAACATGTTTGTAGAAAATTGTGCACATTTATTGAAAATGAAATATAGAAATATCTAATTTACATAAGTATTCACACCCCTGAGTCAATACTTTGTAGAAGCCCCTTTGGCAGTGATTACAGCTGTGAGTCTTTCTGGGTAAGTATCTAAGAGCTCTCCACACCTGTATTGTGCAACATTTGGTCATTATTCTTTTCAAAATTCTTCAATCTCTGCGAAATTGGTTGTTGATCATTGCAAGACAACCATTTTCAGGCCTTGCCATAGATTTTCAAATAGATTTAAGTCAAAACTGTAACTTGGCCATTCAGGAACATTCACTGTCTTTTTGGTAAGCAACTCCAGTGTAGATTTGGCCTTGTGTTTTAGGTTAATGTCCTGCTGAAAGGTGAATTCATCTCCCAGTGTCTGGTGGAAAGCAGACTGAACCAGGTTTTCCTCTAAGATTGTGCCTGTGCTTAGCTCCTTTCCGTTTATTTTTTATCCTGAAAATCTCCCCAGTCCTTAACGATTACAGGCATACCCATAACATGATGCAGCCACCACTATGCTTGAAATATGGAAAGTGGTACCCAATTATGTGTTGTATTGGATTTGCCCCAAACATAACACTTTGTATTCAGGACAAAAAATGAATTGCTTTGCCACATTTTTTGTAGTATTACTTTTGTGCCTTGTTACAAACATGATGCATGTTTGGAATATTTTTATGCTGTACAAGCTTCCTTCTTTTCACTCTGTCAATTAGGTTAGCATTGTGGAGTAACTACAGTGTTGTTGATCCATCCTCAGTTTTCTCCTATCGCAGCCATTCAACTCTGTAACTGTTTTAAAGTCACTTCTTTAAACCTGGGTGGTTTCCTTCCTCTCCGGCAACTGAGTTAGGAAGGACGACTGTATCTTTGTAGTGACTGGGTGTATTGATACACCATCCAAAGTGTAATTAATAACTTCACCATGCTCAAAGGTATATTCAATGTCTGCTTGCTTTTGTAGCCATCTACCAATAGGTGCCCATGTGAGTAATTGGAAAACCTCCCTGGTCTTTGTGGTTGAATCTGTGTTTGAAATTCACTGCTCGACTGAGGGACCTTACATATAGTTGTATGTGTGGGGTACAGAGATGAGGTAGTCATTCAAAAATCATGTTAAACTATTATTGCACACAGAGTGAGTCCATGCAATTTATGAACTTATTTAGGCTTGCCATAACAAAGGGGTTAAATACTTATTGACTCAAGACAATTCAGCTTTTCATTTTTCGAAAAACATAATTCCACTTTGACATTATGGGGTATTGTGTGTAGGCCAGTGACACAAACATCTCAATTTAATCCATTTTAAATTCAGGCGGTAACACAACAACATTTGGAAAAAGTCAAGGGGTGTGAATACTTCTGAAGGCACTGTATTTAATTTTTGTAACATCATCAGACATAATTTGTTAGTCGCTCTGGATAAGAGCGTCTGCTAAATGACTAAAATGTCAAATGTAAAATCTGTGTGCATAGGTAGACAGGCCTGTTTTCTTTCCTAGTTCCTGTTACAATGCCTGACCAGAGGGAGGAGAAGTTGAACAGCAGTAGATTCAGCACAGTTGTAGCTGTGTGGGCTAATATAGTCAAAATGTTTGCCTTGGGGTAAATTGAGCCAATGGCAATGGGGTATGTTGAGCCAATGGCCATGGGGTATGTTGAGCCAATGGCAGTTTGAGCAAATATAAGTGTTTTTTCCCCCAGGCATAATGCAAGGCATTATCGCTGGGATATAAGGCTTATGTTAAAAGGGTTAAAAGGGTTGTTTTTTTAAGTACTGAGTGTATGATAGGTGTTAAGCCTGTGTCAAAAGATGCTTAAAATGATTGTGATTGTAATGAATTGTGTTTGGGAAATAAAGATAGACATGGTTTTAAAACGTTTTATAAAATGGAAACTCATATGGTAATTTATAGATGCAGCACTGACTACACCAAAGTATAGCAATTGTAGACCTATACTAAAGTTGGCATTGCCACTTGGGTTGTATTCACTAGGGCTTCATTTCCCGTTGCAAATCCTTTTGATACTTTGATACTAATGAATATCACCCTGGCCCTGCAGAGTTACAGTGGAATGCAGGGGTTTGCTCCAGCCAACACAGCACCAAAATACCTGATAGAGCTAATCAACTCAAGGTCTCGATAAACTGAATGAAGTAGTTTTGTGTTGGGCTGGAGCTAAACCATCCACGTCCAGTAGCTCTCCAACAATCACCAGGGTCGCTGACCATTGCGTTACTATTTTTTTTGTTGTTGACCGTTTTATAAGGGTTAATGTAGTATACATGTATCAGTTTACCCACCTTTTTATTTTTGTGAATAGGGTTTATTTTGTGAATAAGTGTTTTTTTGCATTAGGGTACCCACATGTTTTACCACTACATCTTGTCTGACCTAAATGACAAAGGTAGTATGAAAATGTATGCACTCACTAACTGTAAATCGCTCTGGATAATAGCGTCTGCTAAATGACTAAAATGTAAATGTAATAAATCTGCTGTTATTCCATTTGGCTGACTTCTCCATCATTGAGAAGTTAGGGTAGTCATTGGACTCAAAAGTTGAAACTGATGTGGCTAAGTGTTTGTGTTCCCTATGCCCTAAAAAGAAAGAAATGCATTACTTTAAGGGGTCATGAATTGGTGATTGTGGTCTTATGTGGTTCAGGGTTTTGAGTTCGTAAGTATACTTCAGAGAGAAGAGATTGGGACAGTCTTGGGTGGCCAGGTTCATGTTCATCAGGACACAAAATGTGAAAGCTAGTCTTCACCTTGTGTCTGTTTTCTTCACTTTAGTGGCTAATAAAAACGACCCACATTGGGATATAATAAGGAACGCTGTGTGTCTCTATGTTCACCTTCCCCAAGGTCTGCCGGGTGCTGCTGTCCATCCCTCCCCCACCACATCTGCTCCTTTCAGGGATTACCGGCAACATGTCTGTCTGAAACTATCCGTGCTGATGACCGGCAGATTACAACCGCACTGCACCCTCTGAGAGAGATTAACCAATCAGAACGCAGACAGAGACAGAGATGGCAGGGATTAACCAATCAGACCACAGAGAGGGAGGGCAGAGGGATTAACGTGGTGCAGAGTGGGATTAACCCAGCGAGTTGAGTGCGTATGTCGTGTGCGTATTAAGTGCGCTATGGAAATCTCTCTAGTTTCCCTTTTACGTCTAAATGCTATACTGTATTATGTTTGTGTTCAAATTAATACTTCATCAGTTGAGGAAAAAGGCAAATGCACTCCTATGTTATTCATTCCCAATATTGTTATATACATTGAAGTTTGCTGCTCTCTGAAAAATAAGGTTATTCTATTCTATAAATGAATGGTTATGTATTCATTTTTAGAGTCCCCATTTGTCCAAAATTAAAGTACCAAATTGTTACCCTGTCACCACATAAAAAATCTAGTCATCTCCAGACACTGTCAAATATGTTATGGAATCTGTCTTTTGCCGAGTCTAGATTCCAACACACATTCGTAATGAAGACGTCTTTTGTGCAACGATAGGAGTAACTCAGTGAACTCAGTGTCCATCTCTGTTATGACACACACACACACACAAATGGCACACACATCACGTACACATGTTGTGCTCACAAACACTCACAAACAAGTATACACACTCACACAAATTTCCACTTGTAGTCAAATTACATGGCATGTAACCAGGTCAACTAGGGATTACTGAGTTGTCAGAAGAGGAGGGTGAGGTGGAGTAGTGGGGGTGTGGAGGGAGGCAAAGGGGGGTAAGAGACTGGCAGGGATGGGGAGAAGAGATGGGTTGGAGGGGAGAGGTTGCACGTAGGAAGAAAGTACTGTACCCCGAGGGACAATAGACAATACTTTATGTCACAGATGATAGCCTTGATTGTTTTTTGGACATTGAGACATTTCTGGAAGGAAAGAAAGAAAGAGGAAGTAATGAAGTTTCTGAGTCACTCATTGTCCTCTATGATAGCAGAGTTTGATGTCAGCTGTAATATGTTTTAACCATGGCCTGAGTGTTTCAAATCAGTTTCTAGTTAAGTCTTTTCCATATAGCATTATCATCAAGGGCATCGACCTTCCTTCATTTTATAGAGTATATGGTATACTTTGCCTGTTCAGAGAGAAAAGGAGTGATTGAGACCATTGGTGCAGAAGATTGAGAGACATGTAGACGGAGAGACAGACAAACAGGGAAAGGCCAAGGCCATAGCTACATACGAGGACACCGAGGTCAGGACCTCTGTACTTTTTTTGAATAAAGAAACAAAAACAAACATTTTAGGAACTCAGTCGGGGTCTCAATTTACTGTTGAAAGTTAGAATACTCAAGGTGCAATTTTGAAACTTGGCTGTGCATCAGCAGTTTTCCTCTTGTTATATGTCACTCACTGACTGAGGGAAAGAGAGAAGGGAGAGGTAGAGATGGGGAGAGAGAATAAAGAGGTAGAGAGAATAAAGAGTTACAGAAATGGGGAAAAGACAGAAAGATGGTGACAGAAAGAAGGAGGGGGAGATAGAGAGAAGGAAAGAGAGACAGAGGGGTAATCCTGACTAATTCACTTAGGACATTGCTGAAGGGAGGGTAAGAGGATTGAGCCACTCCAGAATCAGATGAGCAAAAATAACCGACAGCAAGACGCACTGGAGAGCCATGTGGGCCAAGGTGGAAACTGTTAAGAAACACAGTAGAAACCATAGCTAACTAACTAACAACATGGTGATTGTTATCATCAGAAGTCAACTGGTCACTTGTTTAGTTCTGGGTCAGTCATGTACTTGAACTGAACTAATTTTGATTCCGAATACCAATACATGACGTACAGTACGTTTGAATGCAAAAAACCTGAACCCTTCATATAAATTGTGAAACTGATATGTCACTCAAACTTGTAATCACAATAATTTTCAAAGTTAGCTTTAATATTTCACACAACAAAACAAAGAAGTTTCTTTTTTCTCATTAAAATATAATAGCAATGATGCTAGCCTAACACCATAGTAACACGTTAGCTCCAAAAGCCTAAAAGTAACCAAATGAAAATCTAAATTGTAACATAGAATAACAATGACTAAACTCAAATTAACACTGATGGTCTTTCAGAACAAAAAAAGAGAGAGACTAAGAGAGTATCAAAGCTCTGTAAATTTGATCTATTGTTGTATTTCTTGAAAAAAAAACTCAAGCCATCAACAGCAGAAAAAAACATCAGAGGAACGATTGAGTTTAGCGTGGTTGTGTCAGTAGAATTCTCTTGATGATGTCTTTCCATCACAGACCAATCAATGCATCTGAACCATGGCGTGTGTTTAAATCAGTTTCTAGCTGAGAGTCTTTCCCATGTAGTAGTATGATCCTCAGGGACATCCTTCCCTTCTACTGTATGAGAAAGTAAATGGACCTGATATCCTGCAATCACAGTCAGGAGGGATCAATAATGTCCCCGGGTCTCTCTTCTCCTCTCTCCCCTGAATAGAAAACACATTCTACAGGGGTTGCAAAAACCAAGCTTACAAATGAGAAACGGAGAGAAAAAAATAACAACAAAAAAGTCCTCAGTCAGAATCATTTGATCGTATTTGATCATACTGTATATCTGGCGAGGGCCTTATTAATTCACAACTCCTCCCACTCCACTCCCTCGTCTTCTTCTTTTTCTTCTTCCTCTCTCTACAGCACCTGGAACTTCCAGGAATTCTGGTCTTTGTGGTCCAGGCAGTCCATGGTGCTGAAGCCCAGCTTCCAGGCCTGCTGGTCTTTGTAGTCCAGGCAGTCGACGGAGGTGAAGCCCAGCGAGGCGGCCGTGCCGTAGCCCTGGGAGGAGAGCGATGCGGGTGACTGGCTCAGCGAGCCCCCCATTGAGGGCACGGTGATGGGGCTGAGGGCACCGCTAGCCGACAGCTGCGAGTGCATGGGCGACAGGTAGGCGCCGCAGTCCAGGCCCGTGAAGTAGGAGGAGGTGCCGGCGTAGCCCTGGGCGTAGCCTTGGGCGTAGGCCTGCGGCTGGCCGTAGCTCATCGGGTAGGCAGAGGGCCGCTGCATGCAGGGCGCCGAGGAGGCCAGAGGGTCAGGGAGTGGTGAGATGGCCGGGCTCCAGATGGAGCCGGCTGCGTTGCCAGGGTTGTTGCCGCTGGGCGGCAGGGAGGGGCCCGATGGGGTGGGGGAGGGGCTGTAGGAACCAGAGGGGTTGTTGGCCGACGGGTCTGGGCCAGCGCTGGGCTGGTCCTTGGCAGGCGACGCCTTCTTCTTGGGCGGGCGGGGCTTGGACTGGCCGCTGCTCTGCTGCTGCTGTTGGCGGCACTTGGCACGGCGGTTTTTGAACCACACCTGCAGAGACAGAGACACAACACAGCTCCTTAGCATAGAGACAGACAATATGTGGAAATACTGTGATGGTGATAGTAAGTTGTTTGGTGGGAAGATGACAATATGTTACTACATCATTGTTGATATATCTGTCACTATGCCAATGTGCACCTATACTCTGTGATATAATGCACGTGTCAAAACCAGTTTTCGTACCAGATAGAACTGTGAGCTAAACTGTCACGGGTGTGGGATGTGTCTGTACAGTGCATTCAGTACATGTCCTTCTACAGTCCCTACTACAATACTGGTGAATTATACTCTTCCATCTGAGAGCATGTGTCACACTCTCTTACCTATGAAGGTGGATGTAATTTTTTTTAACCTCAACAACAATATTGTAACACTATGTTTCGCTTGTGTAGGTTTTTCTTCCACTGTCTATGTTGTTATAACTTGAAAGGAGCTCCGATTGATAACATGTATAGATGTAAATTGCACTAACTGCATAACCTGTATAGGCCTACTCTCAATGTACTTCTAAATCCATTACATTGCCATATAGACATCTGTTGGTGAGACAAGAGGATGAGAACCACTTATAGATAGAGCCATGTCTGACTATGTATTTTATAGTTATTCTCTATATTTTCTCTATATCATCATTACACCGTACCTGTACGCGTGACTCGGGGAGGTTGATCTTGAGTGCCACCTCCTCCCTCATGAAGATGTCGGGGTAGCGGGTCTTGGAGAACAAGGCCTCCAGGATATCCAGCTGAGTGCGTGTAAAGGTGGTGCGCTCGCGACGCTGCTTTCGCGGGGTGGCTGAGAAATCCAGAGACACAGAGACTGTGTGATAATAATGGTAATGATGGAATGGCATTAATGGACAGTAGCACTCCTCAGTGCTCAAAGTGATTGACATTCACATTGAATTTCATTAGGCCTACAGTTCATTGGTAAAGGGTTGTATATCTGTTGATAACAGTGGTATTGATTTCATGACCCCTCATGACACCTCTCTATAAGACAAGTCATATAGTTTCTATGATCATTATGGTATTTTCAGATATTTAAATGAGTCATAGCAGGTATTAGCCTAGTAATAGAAAAAAGACCAAAGAAAAAATAAAGGCAACTATAGGCAAATGCAGGTATATGTGAAAACTATTCGTTTCCTGACAAAAGACTGTGCCCATATATGGGAAGATGTTTGTTAGGCTAAATGGCGATTGTCTGTATCTAAATTGAACAAGTGTTACAACTGGTGATGATGGTAATGGCAGGTGCCAAAATATTAATTTTGACAGAGAAATGCATAGCCGACTGTAAAGGACCAGGCTACGCTCACATTTAGCCAATTTGGACTAGGATTAGGCAAAACTGTCATCATTGTCTATCAATATGGTTTTCAATTCTCACAATTATTTCATATTTTCTTTTTGATTAGGAATCGCTGTTATTTGATACTAGCCTACCCTTTGTTGAATAGCTTATTGTCATGCGAACCAGTCACAGAATAATCTATTATTATGATTAATATTGTGATATTATTATTGTTGTTGTTGTTGTTGTAGTTATTGTTATTAGTAGGCTATGTTATGTTGTTATACATTATTAACGGGGTTGAAAAATCCATGGTGCGTGGACTTTACGCATGCACTGACCTGTTTTACACATAAATCGCGTTAATCTTTGGCCACCGTAGGCTATAAAAAAAATAAAAAAATGTGGTAAATTACAATAAAAAAAGTGGTAGTATTATTATACTCACATGGGTATCCAGCCGTGGTGTGTAGCAGGTCCATCCCAGTCATGTTTAACCCGTTCATGGCGTAATGGGGTTGCTTAATGTAGGACATCATCCTCGCGCCGGGCTTTTATGCCTTCTCGCTCACTCGGTTGTCTCTCTGAACTGACACACACGACTGGACTTTCTTGGGAGACTTTGCTATTTCCCACCAGTCCCTCTTGGTCGGTTAGTTTGGGTCTCGCTCCAAGTCAACCTCGCCAAGTGCGTAAAAGTGACAAGGATATCTTGTAAATTATTTTTTTCTTTCTTTCTTTCTTTCTTTCTTTCTTTCTTTCTTTCTTTCTTTCTTTCTTTCTTTCTTTCTTTCTTTACTCTTTCTCACTTTACTGACTTGTCGAAAAAACCAAACATTTGAAGTGCACTCCTTGTTACAATTGCGCGCCTTAGTTTAGATGATGTTAGAGCGCGCGGACCCTTCTTTTTTGGCGCGCCAGGAGCAGGTAAAGAGGCGCGTGCTGCCGTTGAGCGGGGTGAAGCCGCTACACTGACTTATTTTACAGACACGGTTAGCTAATTAGAGGGACGACGTGGACGCATAGAAACCCCTCCCTTCTCTCTCTCTCTGTCTCTCTCTCTCTCTCTCTCTCTCTCTCTCTCTCTCTCTCTCTCTTTCGCTCCGTCTTTCCCTCCTCCCTCTATCTCTCTCGTCTCTGCCCATCCGACTACACTTCGTCCCACATGTTCCTTTTATTCCAAGAGACATTTATAAACAATTTTGCAGTTAGGTCTACTTTTTCAATTGACCATGTAGAGGCATCTAATTTTTACAGCATTTATCACATTTTCATGAAACAAAATAAGCATTTTCCGTATAGGCTACAGTTTATGTAATCTTTGACGGGTTGGGTAAAATATTTTGTTGCATATGCCTAATTGCCTATCTATTTCAAACTATTCATTTTCAGTGCTGTAGCAATAAATAATATTTAGCAGTATATTTTTTTAAATGCTGATGATTTATCAAAAATTGATAAACATTCGTTCTTTAAACATTTGAAATCAAGGCATAAGATTATAAATGATAAAGTCTCAGAGACATTATACTGTATATACAAAAGTATGTGGACACCCCTTAAAATTTACATTTGAGTCATTTAGCAGACGTTCTTATCCAGAGCGACTTACAGTTAGTGAGTGCATACATTTTCATACTGAAAATGAGAGGATTCGGCTATTTCAGCCACACCCGTTGCTGACAGGTGTATACAATTGAGCACAGCACACACCCATGCAGTCTCCATAGACAAACATTGGCAGTAGAATGGCCTTACTGAAGAGCTCAGTGACTTTCAACGTGGCACCGTCATATGATGCCACCTTTCCAACAAGTCAGTTCATCAAATGTCTGCCCTGCTAGAGCTGCCCCGGTCAACTGTAAGTGCTGTTATTGTGAAGTGGAAAAGTCTAGGAGCAACAACGGCTCAGCCGCAAAGTGGTATGCCACACAAGCTTACAGAACTGAATGTAAAAATCGTAGGTCCTCGGTTCCAACACTTACTACAGAGTTCAAACTGCCTCTGGAAGCAACGTCAGCACAATAACTGTTCATCCGGAGCTTCATGAAATGGGTTTCCATGCCTAAGATCACCATGCGCAATGCCAAGTGTCGGCTGGAGGGGTGTAAAGCTTGCCGCCATTGAGCTCGTTCTCTGGAGTGATAAATCACACCTTACACTCTGGCAGTCCGACTGACAAATCTGGGTTTGGCAGATGCCAGGAGAACGCTACCTGCCCCAATGCATAGTGCCAACTGTAAAGTGTGGTGGAGGAGGAATAATGGTCTGGGGCTGTTTTTCATGGTTTGGGCTAGGCCCCTTAGTTCCAGTAAAGGGAAGTCTTAACACTACAGCATACAATGACGTTCTAGACAATTCTGTGCTTCCAACTTTGTGGCAACAGTTTGGGGAAGGCCCTTTCCTGTTTCAGTATGACAATGCCACCGTGCATAAAGCAAGGATCATACAGAAATGGTTTGTCGAGATTGGTGTGGAAGAACTTGACTGGACTGTGGAAGAACCCTGACCTCAACCCCATCGAACACTTTTGGGATGAATTGGAACACCGACTGCGAGCCAGGCCTAATCGCCCAACATCAGTGCCCGACCTCACTAATGCTCTTGTGGCTGAATGGAAGCAAGTCCCCGCAGCAATTTTCCAACATCTAGTGGAAAGCCTTCCCAGAAGAGTGGAGGCTGTTATAGCAGCAAAGGGGGGACCAACTCCATATTAATGCCCATGATTTTGGAATGAGATGTTTGACGAGCAGGTGTCCACATACTTTTGGTAATGTAATGTATTTGGCCCATAAGCCTATAATACAGAAATGAAAATGACTGAATTGAGTCCATGGTTAATAGACTGCATGAATCAAAAATAATATTCCCATTAAATTCTAAGATTCAGAAAGAGGTGGACATCATAAAAACTGGGACAGCTTAATCCTGACATGTTTTATTTCTTGGACTGACAAGAGAAAATCCAAACCATTATTACTAAACCCTTGCAGAGAAACCACATGATCAAAATCACATCACTTCATTGGTGTGACATCATAGAGAGGGGCAGAGCAAGCTTAAAACAGGAAGCTCGCCCCCTGAAGCATACAGTGAGATCAGTGACATAGCTTTTTTTCAGTTTTGATGTTAAGGTTATAAAACTGTCATAAATAATGCACTGTGCCAAATTGTGACATAAATGTGGATACTACAGTGAGGGAAAAAGTATTTGATCCCCTGCTGATTTTGTACGTTTGCCCACTGACAAATAAATGATCAGTCTATAATTTTAATGGTAGGTTTATTTAAACAGTGAGAGACAGAATGACAACAAAAAAATCCAGAAAAAACGCATGTCAAAAATGTTATAAATTCATTCGCATTTCAATGAGGGAAATAAGTATTTGACCCCTCTGCAAAACATGACTTAGTACTTGGTGGCAAAACCCTTGTTGGCAATCACAGATGTCAGACATTTCTTATAGTTGGCCACCAGGTTTGCACACATCTCAGGAGGGATTTTGTCCCACTCCTCTTTGCAGATCTTCTCCAAGTCATTAAGGTTTAGAGGCTGACGTTTGGCAACTCAAACCTTCAGCTCCCTCCACAGATTTTCTATGGGATTAAGGTCTGGAGACTGGCTAGACCACTCCAGGACCTTAATGTGCTTCTTCTTGAGCCACTCCTTTGTTGCCTTGGCCGTGTGTTTTGGGTCATTGTCATGCTGGAATACCCATCCACGACCCATTTTCAATGCCCTGGCTGAGGGAAGGAGGTTCTCACCCAAGATTTGACGGTACATGGCCCCGTCCATCGTCCCTTCGATGCGATGAAGTTGTCCTGTCCCCTTAGCAGAAAAACACCCCCAAAGCATAATGTTTCCACCTCCATGTTTGACGTTGGGGATGGTGTTCTTGGGGTCATAGGCAGCATTCCTCCTCCTCCAAACACGGCGAGTTGAGTTGATACCAAAGAGCTCGATTTTGGTCTCATCTGACCACAACACTTTCACCCAGTTCTCCTCTGAATCATTCAGATGTTCATTGGCAAACTTCAGACGGCCCTGTATATGTCCTTTCTTGAGCAGGGGGACCTTGCGGGCACTGCAGGATTTCAGTCCTTCACGGCGTAGTGTGTTACCAATTGTTTTCTTGGTGACTATGGTCCCAGCTGCCTTGATATCATTGACAAGATCCTCCCGTGTAGTTCTGGGCTGATTCCTCACCGTTCTCATGATCATTGCAACTCCACGAGGTGAGATCTTGCATGGAGCCCCAGGCCGAGGGAGATTGACAGTTATTTTGTGTTTCTTCCATTTGCGAATAATCGCACCAACTGTTTAGGGATGGTCTTCTAGCCCATTCCAGCCTTGTGTAGGTCTACAATCTTGTCCCTGACATCCTTGGAGAGCTCTTTGGTCTTGGCCATGGTGGAGAGTTTGGAATCTGATTGATTGATTGCTTCTGTGGACAGGTGTCTTTTATACAGGTAACAAGCTGAGATGAGGAGCACTCCCTTTAAGAGTGTGCTCCTAATCTCAGCTCGTTACCTGTATAAAAGACACCTGGGAGCCATTAATCTTTCTGATTGAGAGGGGGTCAAATACTTATTTCCCTCATTAAAATGCAAATCAATTTATAACATTTTTCAAATGCGTTTTTCTGGATTTTTTTGTTGTTATTCTGTCTCTCACTGTTCAAATAAACCTACCATTAAAATTATAGATTGATCATTTCTTTGTCAGTGGGCAAACGTACAAAATCAACAAGGGATCAAATACTTTTTTCCCTCACTGTATGTACTGGTGCATCAAAATACATACAAAAGTAGCCAATATTATGTTTTAATTTTGTACTAAGGTTAGGCAGGGCTCTGGTTCTTATAGTACTATATCCTGTAAATATTTTGTTGTAGTACTGTCAGTGCTTGACTTGGGCAGGAACTCACTGTCGCTGAGTACCGGCACCTCAAATGTTCTACTGCTTGAGCTCCTGTTCCTCTTAATAGGTCAAAAGTATTGTGGAGCTTCTGCACTTAAATATAAAAAGTACCCATACCCAAAATGAGTACCGGATCCTATTTCAGCCCAAGTCAAGCACTGACTACTGTTGTTAGTACTGTTATTAGAGTGAATTCAGAAAAAGTGGGACACTTTTTGCATTTCTGTCTTCTGTAACCTCGTCAGACATCTATCCATCATGTTAGCCCAACACATGATACATTTCGGAAATCCTCAGATGTTTCCTAAGCACATAAAATGGAATTGAATTGTCATTCATTGGTGTACAATTAGGACTATAATAATGGTGTCCCAGTTTATCTAAACTGCTGTCCCAGTCTACCAAATGCGAACGGAAATATGGTTTTAAATCAGTGTGGGTGTGTCATGACTCCTGTCAATATGATATTAACATTCGTTTTTTTGTGTGATTAGGAAGCATCTTGAGGATTTCAGAAACGTATGTGCTGGGCTAATATGTTGGATAGATGTCGAAAGAGGTTACAGAAGACGGAAAAATTCACCCTACAATTTTACGTTTCAATTTGTAATTATAAT